CTCGGGTGGCTTTTCTGAGGGAAGCAGAGCTCGCGGGGTGAGGACTGGCACGTGAGGTTTTCCGTGAGGCTGGGGCTGTAATCCAGGCTCTCCCCAACCCACCTTCTCCAGGGAGAACTTGGCTTGGAGCCTGCAGGCTGGTGGGTGGGTCTGCAGGTGGGTGCACCTCCTCAGCCATCACTCTGGGGTTTAGAGGTCTGTGGTGCCACAGTTGTTCCCCAGCGATGGCAAATTGGCTTCCCCGGGGGGAGAAGGTCCTTGGTTTGACTCGGAGCAGCACCAGGACTCGTATTGCTGGGGCTGGTCCCTGTGTTTGTGGTCTGGTGAAGCTGGAGGGATGCACATGTGGATTTGAAGCGTGTCAAGGTCCAGGTTCAACCTGGACACCATCCCTGCCAGACCATGTGTGGGTCAGGGCTGCCCAGGGGCTTGGGGCGTCCGACTCCACGGGCCACAGCTCCGGTTAGGCCAGGCTGGGAGAGCCCAGCCAGGCTGTGGGGCTCAGGGACATGTGCAGGGATCCTCATGACTTCATCCCTTCATCCACTCCCAGTTCCTCCTGCTCCACAGTCTGGAAGTGACGTGAATGAGGCTGTGCTGGAGCAGAGCTCGGGCTTGCCCCGGGGCCCCCGGGGAGGGCGGTGGCAGAGCCGGGAAGAGGAGGAGAATCCCATCCTGTCCCATCCCATCCCAGCTGCTGTTTCTAACCAAGGCAGGGGCACTCGTGTCCATCCCACGTGGTGGCAGAGCTTTCTCTTGCCGGGAGGGGACACCGTGGGGGACAGAGCTGCCTCTGTTGAAGCCCTCTGGCTGCAGCCTGGTCCTGCCTGTTTTCCTGTATCCTGCTGATCCCATGGCCTGAAGCCCTCCTGGCTCAGGAGCGAGGGTGAGCACAGGGATTTCTCTTCACTGAGCAGAAATTGCTTTGATTTGTGCCTTAATCTTTAAGCCTCAGAGGTGCAGGGCTGAGGCAGAGCCAGAGAGGATCTAGACCTGACGCTGGGGGGGACAATTCCACCATGGCCCAGAGGTGGACAGGTCAGGGAGGGTCTGCATATCCCTCTGAGGCTGAAGAAACTGGAATTAAACTGTCTCTGTGCCCTAGATAGGATTCATGGTTGTGCCTGACTTTGCAGAGCGTAGGGGTTTGTAGGGCAGTGTCTGGATCTCGTCCTCTCCCTCCGATTCACAAAGCCACGGCTGAGCATCCACAGGGATCCGCCTGCATCCCATGGGCCCAGGGTGCTGCTGTGGGTACAGCAGCACGTGCTCATTCCAAACTCAGTCATGGACTGGGATTGCCATGGAGAGTCTGTCTGCTGTTCCCTGCTGATGTAGCCTCGGGGATCATCAGGAGATGTGCCAGGTCCCTGGCATTCCCCATGCAGCGGGGCCTGAATCCCTATAACACTCAGGAAAAACAAGGACATTTCCCATAGCACAGCTCTTGTGCTCATCAGTAAGGACAGGGACATGAAAATACATCTTTGGGGGGCTGCAAAGTGCCCCCACTCCCGAGTGCAGCGAGGTGGGGGATGTGCTCCAGCACGGGCTTGGCCGGTGCTCTCCAGCCCCTCGCTCCCTGCCGGCACCGTCTGCCCCAACAGGGGGGTTCGGGGGGTTCACGGGGTCACGGAGCCGCCTGCCCCGCTAATGAGGCCGGGCAGCCCCGGGGCAGCTCCCCTCTCCTGCCCGGCTCGGATTAGCAGCTGCCTGTCCCCAGCCCTAATTGAATTCTCTCCCCTTCACTTAATTCTCATGGATTTCTCGGCGCCTCCCCAGGGACCCGTCCTGCCTAACTAGTTTAGGGCCAG